CTAATCGCCGAGTGATGAGGCGATGTTTTTCTCCCATTCTTTTTTCCTCTGTTTTTCTTTTTGCTGCCGCGATCCGTTATTTAATTTCCTATTCCTAGAGGCTAAAAAGGTGAGCTACTTCCCCTGTTACTAGGGTTTTTTGTTTATTTATGCTTATATGTGAATGAATTTTTGCTTACCATTGTCTGTTCTTCGCACCAGGACCCACACACGCGCAGTGAAACACAATGTTTTGCTCGTCCGGACGTCCCACTCTTCTTCATTGTCTGGTTTCATTCACGTCCCGCCCCTTTTTACATTTTTTCAAAGCCTTTTTTCACTTTGGAAACACCGATGCATGCAGTTTCTTCGCCTCGGTCGCACTAGTTTTGAACTTGTCTTCCATTTTTCATCATAATCTGGATTACCCAAAACTGTCGTGAAAGGTGCCTTTAAAAACAGTCATCCGTCAGTGAAAAGGGTGTTGCTGTGCCGTGCCTGCTAGAATTGCTTCAAAAGCTTCTTACATCTTTCGAGTCTAGTTTTCTTCATACGCTCAGTTAGCATGTGAGCTTTTCTAACCTTATAATAGCGAAGTCGAAGGTGGCTGGTGACAATCCTCAAAACAGGTCGAGCAGAAATACCCACCTCAAGAGCCATTTTTCTCTCGGACATACGAGGGTGGCGGCGGATTTTCTCTCGAGTGATTTTCACGATCTCCTTTGTCGTTGCACTCGTCGGTCGTCCACTTTTAGGCTTGTCCTCCATAGTTCCTGTCGCCTTGTACCTGATAACGTTGTTGTACACGGTTCTTAAGGAAATCTGCAGCTGCTTGGAGATGGTCTTTGCAATGCATTCAGCCAGATGGAGGTGCATGATGGAGGCTCATTGGTCTTTGCCTGTCACCATTCTGTAAAATGGCATATTTGAAATCGGCCAATTCACGGAATTGCAGTAAATAGTGGCACAGATCCTGTCGAGATCGAAGTCCTCATTTCTTACTGAGGACCTGAAACGGGATTCTGCCAGATCATTTGCCGCGCCCTGTACACCTCCGCTTTAATTTCAGCTGTCATGAAATTAAGTGAGCTAGGAAGCGTTGAAGGGCGTATTGTGAAAACGCATTGATCCCTCAAAAAAGAGGGAGTAGGTAGAGAACTACCAGAACTGCAGCAAAAACAACAGATACCAATTTTTTCATCTTGAACTTCCTTTTCTTAGAATCCACCTGATAGAGACCAAGTATAAACTCGGTAATTCTTGGTATGATCACCAATGAGTATGGTATGGTCACTGACAGACTACATATTTTATAAGAGATCGTATCCCTACAATTTTAGATCCATTGCCTCCACAATTTTTGCATTCCAGGCTTGTGAATAACTCTGATAAGTATATCCTACTGAACTTCATATATGGACAGAATCCGCGCTATTTTGATGAATATCTCGGTGATGTTCGACAATTTTTGACATTTTCGCGAAACATTCGCGACGAAGGCGACTATGCTATTGATTCCTTGAAAATGTACTTTGATAGATTTAATTTTTACAGAGTATTTCTCTTTTTCTACAATTCAGGGACGGCTTCAATGGTCTAGCAAGCGTAATAGTTGGATGTGTATACATATTCGAAGAACGGATTTTATTGAAAGGAATATTTCAACCGACGTGAATCTAACAATTAATGCAGCGAACTCCATCGCAAAGCTAACGGTCAGCCTATTAGAATGTGACTTTTGGCACCTGGAAGGTTCTCCGCACAATCACGGCCTCTGGCAGTGGGACGACATCTAGTTGGGAGCCACTCTTGTTCTCTTACACTAAGCACGGAGGAGGGTTAGCTGTCTTTGCGGGCTCGTAATGATAATCTTTAGCAGAGATGGCCAGCACGTCGCAGCCTACGCTTTCGAAAAGAAATGACTCAGAGTCTCACCCACCCCGGTGCTCCTCCCTCTCTTGGGCTTGTTTAGAAAACTATATTCCCATAGTTAAAAAACATTCAGAAGCACCATGACGGTCACCCCTTCTTCTCTGCGCTCGAAGACCTCGTTAGAAAAAAGGTGCCTCCCCCCCCCCTAAACCCTTCCCCCAAACTACATTTTCACAACCGTTCCTCGGAACCGGGAAATCGGGTTCAATAACTGCCGTTCAGCCTACTGCAGTCTCACTTCTCTAGTGACTTTTTTACTGAATTTTTTTTTCAGAAAGTCTCGCATTTCCTCCTGTTTGGAGACGACCAGACCTTTATGAAGGATCTCGCAAATAAAATCGTAGAACGTGGAAAGTGGCAGAAAGATGTAAGTTACAGCGACATGCCAGGATTTTCGTGCTTTTCCGAGTTTAACTCGTTCTACAGCTCCCTCCCCACTTGCCAACTAGTATACCTACTCGAACAAAAATACCGGTGCGTAAGGGATCCTACAGACCCGCCACTGGGACATCCCATTAAGTCATAAAAAGGAGGTAGAGCCATTTCAGAAGGCAGTGGATGCTGTCATTCCGGTCTGGGGGTCTGAAATTCCTGTCCCATCTCTTCTTATAGTTTATACAAGAATTCAAGTTCGTTCCTTTGCCGACAGACTACTTTGTGGCCGGATATGTAGCTAGCTGAGGTTCAACAATGAATACTCCTGGTATTAATATTCATCTCAGTAGTGAAGGAATGTCTTCATCACCACACCTAGCTCTACTGCTGCGTTCGCCACCTTTGTGGCAGAACTCTTAATCATAAAGTCAACAAAAACTGGAAATGAATGCCCCACCCATAAAGGCACATACAGTGTCGTTCAGAAAGGAAACACCTCGAATCTTTTCTGCCACAACTCATCTCGAACTTAATGGTTTTGACTGATTTTTTGATATGTTGTCAACAGCAATGGTATACAATGTCTTCATCACAGAACTCACAAAACTCCATTTTATTTCATTTAAAAGGCCACTTTTCACATTTTTTCTCAAGGGGACAAAATAACATCAGTTTCAATAATTTGAAATAAATCAGTGCAGTTGAACGCTATCATCATGAGATTAGAACCTAATCAACTACCAAACTAATACTAATACTATGTAGCGAAGCCGTTAGCATCGATGACGACTTGACATCTACGGGGCATTGATTCGCCCAAATTGTCGATCAGGCACTCATCGACTTCCTTCAAACTTCTAAGCAGCATTTGTGACTGTTTTATCGGCTATCCTTTTCTTGNAGACTGGCTGGGTGAGTCAAGGGTTCGAATTTCCCGATGAGTCAACCATCGCGCGCTACTTCTACATCTGTGTCCGGGATCGTTATCTCGCTGGAAAGTAAATTTTCTTCCGTGCACAGAACGGGAGAAAGGTAGCATTGATTCCTCCAATATGTCTACGTACATCTGCTGCGCCGTAGTGAATAGAATATAGTGCATGGCCCATGCCTAGACTCGGAGACCATCCCCAAACCAATACTGAGCCGGCACCCATGCCTGAGAGTTGTCAAATGGTACTTGGGTTCGGAACTTGTGTTTTGAAAGGTCGTCTACGAAAAAACCCAAGTGTACCAAGCCAAACAATCTTTTATTAGCCGCTCTAGATGTCTTCGCGTCATTGGTTGAAGGTCCGTGAAGGTGCTCATGCGCCCATCAAAGTCGAGCTCGTCTGTTTTTTCAGTGATCCAGATACTTTTTGACAAGCCTTTCTCCATATATTCCAGCGACCCATGAGCGTCTGTTTATTGTACCTCTGGAGACAATGGCGGAAAGCTGCTCCACGGTCAGAAAGCGAGAGCCAGAGTTTTGTCTTTTCACTGAGAGCGATCAGCTAACAGAATAGAAAAATCACCAATAGTTCTAGACTCGAAAAACACAATAGAACCTATCTAGAGAACATGCCCCTTTTGCAAGTTTTCTGAAAAAAAATTAACCTACTTGGCGGGAAGTGAGCTACCGGAAATTCTGCATCGCAGGAGAGTCGATAATGTGTGCGGTAATTGAAAAGTGTGCCATCAGAAAATCAGGTAAAAAGACTGAGTTTGAGATGAGTTATGGCAGAAAAGGTTCAAGGTGATTTCTTTTTGAAAGGTGCTGTACGGTCCAGGTAATTAACGTAAATATTACAAGGCTTAATCACTCCCCACAACTACCCAAGATGTCTAATGACTGCGAGCCCGAACATTTTTCATGTGTTAATTGTCAATGCGTTTGTAACCCGGAAGGATACAGTTAACCTGCCAATTACCGTCGGAAAAGCTTATGAGATTGTACCTAGCTAGGGTAGCTTTGTCTAACGACACGTAATGACCGGGGTGGAAGAGAATGAGCCCAGAAAACGAAGAGGAATGGGTCGTTCGGAGTGTGTGTCATTGCGTTCGTGTGGATCCTGGTGGGAATAACTGACCTTAGTAAGCTAAAATGCCCCTTAAAATCCATTCACTCATAAGCATAATTTAACAAAAAACCCTAATAACAGCAAAAATAACACACCCTTTACAGCCTCTCGAGGTGGAAAATTATAATAAGGATTGCGGCAGCAAAAATAATATCAGAGAATAACAAAAAGGAAGAAAAACATCGTCTCATCACTAAGCTGATTGCGTGCAAAATGTGCGGGTCCTTGCGCGAATATTGCAATCTGTATTGCCTCGACACTCGTCTGACACATCATCAGTCGAGAGGCGGGGCATCCTGGCGATCCTGAAACGGGACTCCCACCATGTCCTAGCTGTTGAGATTTGGTACTCAACAGCGTCCTTCCTGTTACCCTTGGGGACCACTAGGTATTGCTAAGGGAAGAACTCACAAACCAATTTAATCGTGTACTGTGCCTTTAAGTGCTTATTACTCTGAAATCAGTTGTGCAGTGAACGATCCAAGAACAATGCGAAGTTTCACAAATAATTTTGAGATGAGTAAAGCCTTTTAGTGTTGACCAGTCCTGTTACTGAGATGCGCCCGGCATCCAACTTTCACTCAGAATCGTAGTGTGTTTTAAATTCATTGTGGCCTATTCAACAAGCGGTTAGGTTCAACTGAGTCAGAATCTGTTACCAATGAACGACCCGAGAGGAATGAAAGGCTTGGATGGCTCAGACCATAAAAGACGGAGAGACGTATCTTGTCCAGACGGAATTTCATTCCCAGACCATGCGTGGGACAGTGTGCATCGTTTACCCGCCTCCGCCCAGTACAGGCTATTGATTGGGAAATATACTTGTTTCTGTGTTCGTTGGCGCTGATGTTTTTTACCATAGATGTTGAACACATGGAATATTAAGGCAACTATGGTTTCTAAATATAATGAGTATATGGATTTGTACTTGTCGTCTCAGTTGTGCCGCTCATTCCTTATATCTGCTCCTACGTCGACTTTCGGATGGTGGTTGGCATTTTTCATACCTGATCAGAATGCTGTGTATTACACAATGGATGATAGAAAACACGCTGACAAAATTGTAACCAAAGAACTGTTCTTGTAAGTTTTCACTGATATTTACTCTGAATATCAACGTCTACAAGCTGGAGTCGTGGGAATCGGCTGAGTTAATAACGGGTGGAACAAAATGAGCAAATCTTCATGTCAACAAACATTTTTTTTGGGAAATGAGCACAGAGCGGAGCCAACCACCTTTTATAGTGCCCTTCGGCAG